GATGTTTTTCAATACCTAATTGTTTTTTAATACTTAAAGAAATGAATACTTATAAATATGGTGCAATAAACACGAACACACAAGTCTATATTTTTTTGTTATCCCTAAAAAGATCTTTAAAATATATAAAAAACCATTAAACGCATCATTTTTATTTTATCTATTTCGTATATTTTGATAAAAGAATCGAGAGCAGAATCAATATTTGAAAATGATAAATTTATTAAATTCTTTTTCGGAACTGAATAAAGTTTTTAAAAAGGATGAAATGTTCCGCGTTTGTTAAAATAGAGGGAAAATGGATCCGTTGTCATGGCAACGCGGAGAGCCTCCCAAGGTACGGGGCACGGGTGTTAATTCATTGATCCTATGAAGGCTTGCTTATTTCACGTTGTCAGTTTTATCATGGTTTTGTAGCGAAATAAACGGAGTATATTTCGATTGATACCGAAGATATTTCCTTCAATATTAACAATATAATATATTTGTAGTACATATTATTATATAAAAAACAAATTTAAGGAAATATAAAATTTATAAAAATAAAAATGAACATGGCGTTACAAGACTGATGATATGTTAAAAAATATGTTAAAAATCCGAGTGTGTATCGCCATGATAACCAATTAGTGTTGACGGTTGAAACGTAAAACGATAGCCCCCTGGAGGCAAATAATTAGCTCCATAGAAAATATAAATGGTGGATATTATTAAAAGCTACACGAATTTTCAATTACATCACCCATATAGTGATTATAAACGACATTTGTGAAATGCATTGTTCAAATTTATGGTAATCGTTATATTGTTATTGTAAAACATAGGTTTTTGTTTGAAATAAAGTTTATTTGCTGTTTTTTTGTTACAGTATTATAAACATATTAACTCTTTTTAATTGATCAATCAATAATTATTCTTATATGGCTTTGAGGTTTCTTTCAACTCACAGATTTAATGTATATGGAGTAAAACTTTCTCATAAATATGCAAAACTAAGACTCAAAGTCGGTCATTGAAAACATACTTTAAAAAAACTAAAATACAAGTAAAACTTTTATGTAGTTTATAAATATTCAAAAGGGTCCAATTGCAGGTAAGAAGTCGATTGGTTTAAGCGTTTTTATGCCTTATCTCTGTAAGGTCCCGCGGGATGAGGCGTACCCAAATTTAACCTGGATCCCAGGACTATAAAACATACGACATCTCTATTATAGTCCACTTCGAGTCTTGTTCCCAAACACATAAACGACAGATACCGAAAAGATAAATCTCTGACATTCACAAAATAAATTGGACACATCTGTATAGAGAGGGAGTTTAATTAATGTCTTTATTCGCATTTGAAAATAATTGGTATATAAATTAAAAAATAAAGCGAGTTAATTAAGTCTGGAAATTTTATGATATCATCAAAGATGGATTCTATTATTTAATTTTAGATTAGGTGTATTTTACAACTCCCGTTATTTTAATTTGTTGTTTTTTTTTTTTTACTTTTTTCATTTAAATTAAGGGAATAGTTTTTCCTTTGATGTTTTTATTGTGTATTAATAAGTCGTAACTATGAAAAATTAATTGAAACTACACCTAATTTTGTTTCGTTTTATAATTGAATTTAGTACGATAGAGTTTTTAGATTTTTCATTTATATGTTTTTCTTCAATAATACAACTTCATTCTTTACCTTTTTAAAAACCTCTATTCCTGAACCTTTTACTCTTTAAAACGTTATGGTCAACAACTTTAAAAAAGAATTTCTAAATTGAAATCAATAAATATCTATGGCGAGTCAAAAGTTTTAAAAATATGAATTTATTTCGTTTTCAAAGTTATGTTAAAATAATATAGTAGTGAGATCTACAAGTAAGGCGGCTTATTTTAATAAATCTAGCCACGTTTATGTCACGGTTGTTAGCTGAAGTGGATATTCAATTTAATGGTAAAACTGCTCGCCTTGAAGTCAACCAACTTACAGTAATAGTTGCTTCAAGCGGCAGTTTCTACCTTACTTATAAATGTATTTATTTACTTCATTTCATATAAATTGTAAGTAAACTGTCACAATGTTTTGTTATTTATATTTGTCATACCGAATAGCATTTTATAATTTTGTTTTGTGCAACTTCGATTTAGTATTGATAAAGTGATAAAGTACTCTTTAGGTACGAAGTATTACTTTATACTTAAACAAGATATCAAATGACGGAAGTCTTGACTTGAAGAACTGTATGAAACAATTTCGAATATTTACCAAAAAAGTATTTAATCAAATAACAAACATTCCTACAAAGTTTTTTTATAGAAACAATTTTATAATTAGGTTTCTAATATCCAAATATAATTATTTCAAAATAGTTTAGTATATTATAGGTTTCTCAAAAATTTCACATTCCTCTGTCAGTTCTCGACACTATACGATTTGTAATTTTATTTCTGTTATTTTACATTGATACAACATTATGCGATAGATATTTTTAGATAACCATAACGGTTATTTATGTCATAGCTGTAATATGGCGTCAGATTACTATATTTGTAATAGAAGTACTAATGGTTTACAATTGTCATCAGTATTCGTAAAGATTTAACAATATTATACCATAACACTAATTGTATGTAACTGTAGAGTCGATTAGACATTTCGGATACTATTCTAACCATAACCACAGTTTCTGGTCAAGAAACTAATATTGTGTCAATTATTTAACACAATTTTGTTAAGGAACTGTTAAAAGATCTCAAATATCTTATTATTATTTTCCATTAAAGTCTGCTATTGTGTTCGAATTTATTTAAAATTTGATTTTGTATATATATATATATTATTTATTACTACAGATAGTTTTATGAATATTCAAAACAAAACTAAGACTAGTCAGCTATGGAAATGTTAAAATAATTTTTGCCGAACTTTTACTACTATCAAGAGATAAACCTGATTCCGTAGAAAATGTTTTAGTCCAACTAAATTATTCTTATCTTCATGTAATATAGATTGGAATAAAATATTTATACCCAGTTCCAAGTAAACTGTGAAGGAAAAGTGTCTTCGTAAGGGAAATCTCAAAGTTCGCTTCAAACTTAAATGAACCTACTTGACTATGAATGGCTGGACCTTTTCTTTAATTAGGTGCAAAAGTTTCAAAGTTTTCTTTAGATGACATAGTTCATAAAATGTCAGTACATTTTATATAAAGTAAATAAATATCGGGATCGAATTAACTTCTGCAGAAATATGGATGAAGCATTTGCAATCAAATACACTGATTGCTGTGGTTAAACGGAATGGAAAATAAAAAGGGCTGTCATTTAAAATGAAGATAAGGGAGTTTTTTCCAAGTTTCTAACCGAACATTGACGGATAAACTCGGTTCGGTCGAGGCAATGGACATTTTAATTAATCCTTTGTGCTGTTAAACGGATTCTATAATGGTTACCGCGTGTTCGTCAGTTACTGAGAACTTGAGAACTTTGCAATTAAAACTTGTCATATGTATTTACAGTTGCGCTTTGACTTGTCGCTTTCAGAAATTCTTTTACTGTCTTTTACGGTTTTGATGTCAGAAGTTATAAACCTTTTTGTAAAAAAAATCAAATAACCTGTCCTCGTTAGTGGTCTGGTATGTTGATTGTGAATACAATTCAATGTTTTTACGATATAATAGACTGGAATTAAATTTCATGTTTCGGATAAATAAGCATTTATTTTTTTTTTTCTCGTAGTACATGTAATAACTTTGAATGTCAACAAAACTGGAATATAAGTTATTCTTATTTGGTCTCCCAATCATCGGTATTACTTGTTAAACTAAATTTCTTAACCAAAAGAGTTAATTAGTAAGTTCTAAGTATCAGTTCAATGACGTCATCAACGCAGATAAAGCTTGGATTCCTTATTCATCTAGATAAGTTAAGTTAACTTTGACTAAACATTACTATTGAGGTCTGTTAAGCTATTACGACGCATCTGTAGCTAATCGTAAATATCTTTAGACTCCAGTTAATCCACTTATGTTTATTGCTCTAATTTGAGAGTGATAAAGGACATGTGGTAAGCAAATTATATAAACATTTTTGAACAGAGGCCCTTTGTTCTTGAAGTGAAAAAAGCAGGGCCAAACGTCTAGGTTTCGTCTTCTATGGAATTAAAATTGTAGCTTTAAAGTCATTATTTTATCGTTCATCACCAAAACTATTTAACAGTGTTTGCATAATTGATTAACAATAAATATTAAAATTTATAATGTCATTTTAACAGAATTATTTTTGGTCTGGTATTAAAAATTGTTGTATTTTGTCATTGTTTAAAAATATATATATAATTTTATCTATAATTAGCTTAAGTATCAAACGGTAAACATGGCTATAATATAATACGCTAAGTCCGTTCTTATGCAAAAATGGCGCTGGGGACAAATAACTATTTTTATCTTCAATATCATTTCCAGTTAATTATAAAAAAATATGTACTCGTTCATCTGTCAGTTGAATGCTAACTGTTTAAGCTATGGATTAGCCAGTGATGAGCGGTTATTGCGTTCCGCTAGTCGACTAAACAATTTCACAACTAGGAATTGTTGCTAATTAAAACTACTTTCCTAGTAGAAAACTTTTCTATACAAATAAATTATAGCAGTCTATATTATTAAGTTATTCGAGACTTTTAATATTTTAAATTTACTTTATACTTCAAAATTAAGATTGTGTTATTAATGTCAAGTTATAAAATTTGTGAAGGTTGGAAGGAGGCTAATATATAATAGTGTCTCTAAAAGGTGGGTCCCCCGTTCTTGGATATGGGACTATAGTATTAACCACGTCAAACGATGCTTACTCGCTGAATCGTAAAATTATTAATGACTATGAATTAAGGTAAACTGGCACATAAACACCAATATAAGGTGTACTTAATTTATATCAACGCCAATATTAACAAGCATAAATCATGCGGTATAAGATTTTCAGTCTTGCTAGCGAAGTAATCCAGCCATATGAGATTTATGTTCTTCACGTTCTCACCTTCGTATATCACGTCTGTAAGAGCTACCAAAGCCCCTAAAATGAGTGTTTATTGCTGGTCCTTCAAGCCGGACTCTAGTGAATTTCTAAGGACTACTCAAACAAAATTGCGCTTTTTGTCTTTCTTTCGGGATGGTCGTAAATTTATTGTTTCGAGAGGTTCAGGTGCGTGGCTAACGGGTTTATCCAGTCGTAACTCTTGCTCGGGTCGCTTCGAGTATCCAACAAGGATTTGTGCAATTTGTAGCTGGAGCTTGCGTGTTCTCCTGAGGCTATTTGTAGAACCGCCATTAACTTACGTGGCGTCTGAATTATTTAATAGACACGTAGCTGAAAAGGCCAGCGCAGTACCCGGGTTTGTTCCCGTAAAGACCTAAGAGTTCCGCCTCGAGGATTTCTATAATAAAATATTCATCAATAGACACATACGTTTGGTGGAAGCGAACATAGTTTACTTTGTTCGCATTCAGCAGAAGTAAGTGAAAAATTTGACCAATTAGCAAGTAGGAGCGTGTTAACAATGGGTTTGGGGAACAAAGATCGCTTGATGAAGCTTTTAAGTTATTTCTTATTTTATTACGACATTTGTTTTGTTGAGTGATGTTTTTATTGAGTCAAACATTGACTGTGCATTATAATTGTTTATATGAAAATGAAAAGTACTATAACCAGTTCCACATTTTAATATTCATTATGGCTAACAAATTCTTAATTACTCTCACTGTTTTAATATAACCTCATATAATATTTAAACAGTGAAATTACTAAATGTTATATATCTTTTAGTACTTCTCAATTAAATTTTATTACTCAAACATTTCCAGTTCTAACACCACAAACGTTGCTAGCTTATAGCATTAACTGTTCTCATTAAACTGTTGCTCATAAATTAAATGATAGCATTAACTATTAAAATATTTCAGACAAACTTAATTAGTTGAGTGATAAAACGTGGAATTAAAATAGAATGTTTTGTTAATTACAACGTTCATAACTGTAGATTAGTATATGTCATAATAGAAATACAGGTGAGGATAATTTAATAAATTTGGTTGCAGTATCGGAACAAGGACCCCACGAAAAGCGTCTTTTGAACGCACTGCTCAATTCCTACAACACTCTGGAGCGACCAGTCGCCAACGAGAGTGAACCGCTGGAGGTCAAATTTGGGCTCACACTCCAACAAATCATTGACGTGGTGAGTTCGTATTTCATATCAAAGTTTTTAATTCTATGTACCTGGAATAGATTTTCTTATGGTGTAATTTAATTCAAACCCACAAAAGAAAACTGAAGAAATTTTATGAGTATCAAGATAACACTATTTATAGTTATGAAGATTCTATCTAACAGGGTTGTCGAATTTTTGTATTATAGATATTTTAAGGGTACAACATGCAACGGAACTGATAAAGGTAAAATTATAAGGAATCATAATATGTTAAATTTGTTCACGCATAGTACAGTGCGGATTTATATTCGTGTGTTTACATAAGAAGGTCATGTATATGGGGTGTTTTGGACTCCTGTATCAGTTCATCCAGGCTTAGATTGTGATGTCTTCGATGTAGTACAAGGATTATAAATGCTTGGTTAAGATTGAAGTATTAATCTGTATCGCTAAATTCTATTTTATTGATGTTAAACGTGCTTGATATATCTATCTATCCATCCCATAATGAAGTGCCTCTAAAAGGCTTAATATTTTTAAGCCCTAATTACAAATATTGTTATGGCAATATTAGTAACGTATATGAATATTAATTCAAATAAGGGATTTAAATTGTAAGGTTTTCATTCACTACAAAGTCGTATTACGGGCAGTTGTTAAATATTAAATAATAAACTTTGCTACATATGAAATAGTAACAGGTCTTAAAAGAGTATATTGTTATTTATTTATATATGTATGTATAAATAAGAAAATATTTTAAAGGCAAAAAAATAAATCACTTTAAGTTTATTTAAATTTGATGTTAACGCATTCATTAATATATTAATATGTAAATATATAAAAGAAAATTGTGAAGTTTCTTGTCATTATTGCCGAGAATGTATTGGGATCATAAAAAAATATACTTTAGCTTTTAGAATTGGTCCACAACTCTAAAATCGAAAGTAGAGTAGATTTAATTTATTATAAGTATTTATAAAACTACGAATTAAATGAATTAATATTTAATTCTCTTCCAAATTTTCATTTTATTTTAAGGATTATTTTAGGCTGCGATTTTTGTTTTAGGTTGGCGTCTCTAAAGAATTACAGTAACGAGGGTCGCAGAAAAAAAGATTAGAAAAGTCTGATATAAAGTTAATCCTTTGTGTTACTAAAATTCTTTTTATTTCATTAGCGACACACATTTCATACATTTATTACATTGATACGTCACATAAATACATATTATGTATATATAAAACAATGCTGTACTAGTATACTATTTATAACTCAAGAACAACTGTAGGGATATGATTGAAAATTGGTGGGGAGGTAGCTTAGCACCAGGAGATGGACATATGAAATTTAATTCTGTTCGATTGAAACAGAAAAAAATTATAAACTTCAATATCTGGTTATTGACGGCCTCTAAGACGAAATAGAGGTCGCTCAATCAACTATACATATATTACTCATTTCGAAATTAACTCGGACGAAGTCGCGAGCAAAAACTAGTAAATAATAAAACAAATATAAAATCTCTTAGAGAACATAATAATCACCGCCAGTGGCCTGTCGAACTCAATAAATTTTGAAACATCAATACAAAATTTTATATGTAAGGTTAATATTACCAATTTTTGTCCATAATATAATGTGACAGTTTTCATAAATTTATTACATGATTCGTTGAATATTACAAAAGCTTGTATTGTTTATCGGTAAATACAATTTAATTCATTTGCAAATAAATACATTTATTGGCAATATTTTTTATTCTTATGAAAGTAATTATATTGACATATAATGGGAATAATTAGAATGTAGTACTATAAAGAGTCAAATTTATTAAATCTGTAATACATGATTTGACGATTTTTTAGGAATATTGCTTTGACAAACAAGTTATATAACAATAAATACTTAAATTCTTTGGTCTACTAGTTGCCGAAAAACTTGTAAACAACGTATTAATTTAAGGTCATTTAATAAAAAATGTAACTCAATTAATCATACTGCAGTTTGTGGTTAGTAACGATCGATTCTCATATTTGTCATAAAAGCCTGTTTGTTCGGTCATAACATATATTGTGGTACACGTGCTTTATAAACTTGAAAGCTATTGAAACTGATAATCAAATTCTAGAACATTGTCTCGTATTTAACATAAGTGCTGGTTGAAGTGGGTGTTAAATTGGAGTCGGGCAACAGGCGTGGGGCGAATGTAAGTGATTTAAACGGCGTTGGTCCATCGCCAGCGCCCTGATCCGTAAATTGTTGGCACTGTGACGCTCGCTATAGATAAAAGTTTTGAATAATCTCTTCAAGTGTGTTGTTTATAACTTATATAACATAATATGTTATATTAATGTGTTGTTTTATACTACATTCCCGTAATATGATTATTTTTTTCGAAAATGTAATCTATAGTATAGGGAGGCTTATATCTGTTATTTAGTTTTATTTAAACTAAGATATAACTCGGATATAAAATTTGAAATATTCCGTAATTTTATGAACTACACCATTCCTATTAGAATCCTATATACTTTTTTTTAGAAAGCTTCTCTTTTTTATTGATAAAAATTTTCATTTGAAGATATCCGTGTAAGTATATGATATATCACTGAGATCGCGTGTATTTAGTTAGACGATACTATCTCTGGTTAAAGATTAACATATGTGTCAACGGTAATTTCCGAATCTCATTAGTCGTCATTCAAACTGCCCACATCATTTAAATGAGCATCGTTATATATGTGGACCCTTTATGAAAATTGCTTACTTTTATGTAAATTTCATTATTAAAATTTTCAACCAATGAGAAATGAAACTCAATTCACTTAGCGATAAGAAATGATCTGTAGGAGTTTAAAACTTGGCAACGATGTTAAGGAGAAGTGAAATATATTAGTGGATTTTGTCTCGCAACTTTCGTAATAAATAGTTTGCTAATTTAAAAAGAATTAGTGAAATCTCTTTAAGTTCTTTAGAACTCTCTTCACTTTTTTGCTTATAATTAGTAATATTCAGCGTAAAAAGAGTGTGTGCTCCAAAATGTAAGCTTGGTATTCTTTTAATTCGAATAAAAAATATGTTCGAATAAAATCTGCTGGCGTCATAGTGCGGATATGTTTTTAAAATAAAGCTCTCGCTTTCAGTTTCAAAGCCTGATAAATTTATATGTATATAGGACATTTTTAGTTCTTTAATATTAAACTATTAAATCTTCATATTTCGGACCTATAAAATCAGTTGAGAGTTTTATAATTCGTTTAATTATTTAATTACATTCTATGGTGTAGTTTATAGAGCACAATTTTTTCGAACAACCCTCATTGCATAATTTTTTTTGCACATTTTCATTTTATTATGTCACTGGTAGTTAAACGCTTGTTTATAATAGTTCAAAGTTATGTTAGTACAGACATTATAATAAATTTTCGTGTTTGAAAACTATTGATACATATTTTTTTTGTTATCATCTCCATAACGCGTTCACAGTATACCTTAAATGAATCCACAATTCATACGAGTCAACCAGTTTGTTTACAAATGAACTGTATTTTAATGCTTAATATTAAATAAAAATACTTTTGATTTACTTCATATTTTGTTTTTCATTTAAAACGTTCCCTTCGGCGATATCTTTTATAAAGTAACATTGTCAGGTCGCCTCTAGCCGAGAGCTAACTGAATTACATGCACTTGCAAACACTTTATCATTCTTTGAATGTACATTTATGTCAGTTTCCGCGTTGTATTGTTCGCTTCAAAATAAAATGTGTATTTTCTATATTATTCCGCGGATCGTCTATCTGTTTCGACGTGAAATTTTTACAGTTTTAAACTTTATTTTAACAGTTATTTTAAAAATGTCATATCGAATTGATTGTAACGTATGTAACAATACATATATGTTAACCTTAATTTAACATAAATATATATAATTTTGACATATATATGATTTATATAACATGTTTTTAAATATGAATCAGAAGTAAAATTTACTTTTAAAAGCTATATATAAAGCGAGCGAGGTGATTGATCACTACTGCGGTACAACATTTCCTATTCGGTGTAGTTAGGGCGGGCTTTCATCTGGATTAGTTTTCCTATCTGCTCGATGTTGGCTTTATATTTTTTTCCTACATTATTTTATCGCTTTTGGATTTTATGAATTGTTTCAAATAAAATAACGGTAAAATTTTTGCCACGTTTACTCTCAGCGTTATATATAAGTTGACATGAACAAAACATCAGAATTTTAATCAATTTATGTATGAAATTGATAAAAAATTCATATGGAAAGAAGGAAGCGCATTAGTCTGATGGAGGGTTCCATTTTTAACTCATGAATATTTTACTGATAATATTTTTGAAAAGATTTTTTTTTATTTCAATGTATCACATCAAGACTCGAAAGTTATGACTGTATCAGAAAATGTCTAATCTACTTTGGTATAAAGTAGGAGAAATCATAAAACAGGATTTGTGATCAAAAAGAAAATGCATGATTTTATAATGAAAGCGATGTTGATGGATCCACATTAGTTTTTCTTTTCTCTATAGTATATATAAAATAATTATGACGCAAAATAAAGTACATTTTCTCTTACATAGCAAAACATCTGATACCGCCGGGTTTCTCCGCTTTGTTCGATAAATTCACAACATTTTCATACGTACATTAAAAGAAAACATTGATCAGGTATGCTCATAAAAATTGTTATAACAAAAACTTTCATAACTTTACATTTTACCAGATCATGTACGTTAGATTAAAACTAAGCAGAATTTATTGATATTCATTGATACGGTACCACCGTCATGAAAATAAACTGTGACCTACCATAATTATTGTATTTACATAAATAATATTCAGAATATATCATAGGAATATTTTCAATACATTATTCCTTTTATTCGTGCCATTTTACTCATGTAAAGTTCTATTAGAAATCTGCATTGCTTCAGAACTAATCCCTCCTTTGTGTCTTTAAAATTCCTTGCCGGCTGCATTTTCTTCATCTCATTGTCAACGGTTCGATTGGAAACTGAATGTAATCTTGTAGTCTTAGTATTACAGCATTATTGGACGTACTCTTTCTTTATACTATTTACTATAGTTTATTTAATTCTATTGAAGAAACGTTTCAGAGGTTTTTTGAGGTAACATAGTATACGGGGACTTTTCAAGGTCTGTTTTTCAATTGTGTTTATACATTTGTAATACAGGCAATTGCTTCAATGTTTCAATAAATAATTTAACGGATAAAAGCCATAAGGTTAAAACTTAAGTGTTTTTTAAAGTTTCTTTTGTGGGACATTCGATAAACAAGAGTTTTCATTTTCTGTGACCTCAAAAGAGTGTAAAATTTAAAACCTGTGAAAATACGACACAATAAATTTCAATATTGTATCGAAACTTCCCTTTTGGCACGGTGCCAAATAAAAATAACATATTATTTTCATGTCCTTGTATTTTGCAGCTCCTAAGAATAATATAACATTAAATGTTTGAGAAATTTTCTATAAATTTTGGTGAGCTTCATATTTTACGTTATTTTTAATAATAATTATTGTGATTCTAATAGGTTTTTCTCAAAAAGCTAAAAAAATTTTACATACATAATCTATTTTTTATGATATAGCGGATTTTTTGATTCGTAAGCATAAAATTCATGAAGTTTATCTTGAGTATAAAAAAAAATCAATAAATTTATTTTGTAATATAAAAGAATATTTTACGAAACCTAAATATTTTTGACGACTACCCGCAATATAACTGTTTTATATGAATAAAGGATGGATAGACAGATATGCAAATTCTACGAGGAACTGAAGAGTGCGGTATTTTGAATGAAACATTTCATTCAACATATGACAAATAACAAGAAAAACAGACGACAAAACTTTACCAATTCCCAGATATTTAGGATGCCAACGGAACGAATAAAAGGGAAACTTTATTAATGAATCTTTTCCTTCTCTTATCTCCAAAATACTTGGCCAAATGGACAGAAATTTGGAATGCATTTGCGAAATTGTCGGCCAATTCCAGACACAACTCATCTTTCCGTTAACAAAGTATGCGATACTATTGTCGCATTTATCGGTGGACTTTGATGAATTATTCATGATGTACATATTTATTTAAGTTAACAATGAATGTTTTTAGCAACGAATTATATAAAATGTAACGTATATATTTAGTTTTTAAGTTGTAACTGTTTGAGAACAGTTGGTAAGTTGTCCCAATATTTTCTAAGGAGGATAAGATATTGAGTATGAATCTATTGATTATTGGATGTTCATTGTGTTTTTTCGTTCCTTTCTTGCGTCATCGCATTCATTTTACAAAATAAGGACGAGAAAAATCAAATCCTGACCACAAACGTCTGGCTTAACTTGGTAAGTGATAGGAGCCGGGCCCGGCGCCTTCGCCTCCCCGCCCTTGCAATCATCAGACGGTAATTTTTTTTTCCTCAGCCACAAACAAGTTTTATTCTCTCTTACACGCTAACGCACTGTAAAGTTGGCTAGCACTGGATAAAGATAATAATTCTGGCTTTCCTATCTAAAGCACAAAACGAATATAAAGGTTACAGGAGGCGGGAGCGGCTAGAGGGCGCCGCCATAGCGGCAATACTGTCGCATGGCGAGTCGGTGTTAAATTGTTGTAATCGTCATTTCGCCTAACATTAGATTCTGTGTGGGGCGACGCGCGAAGGGCTTTGTCGCATGAGGTCCCTCGCGCGCCGTCCGTCCCCGTCTGTGGCCCAACAGTGCCACAGCTGTCTAGAACATTGTACTGACTGCGTCCTTTCTCTCTGTTTATGTTGACATCGTCTAACCAAATAGGACGAGAAGAATCAACTACTTATAACCAATATATGGCTGTCATTGGTAAGTGTGATAAAAAATGAACCTAAATTAACACTTGATAAAATTTCTAAACTTATGTTCTTAACTTGTGTTCTTTTTTAGTTATTTTACTTGTTTCTTGGTTTCGTTTTACGTTTAATCTGTCGTTGATTTGTTTTTCACTATCTCTATTGAAAATTGCATTGCATTGTGGCGTATGCGGCAGTTTTGATATTTATATCTTTTTGGATATTGTTTAGTGTTTTTTTTCTAAATTCCTAATGCGCTGATTTCCAGCTCGTGCAGTAGTTTAGTGGTAGCCCCTGTATGCATCCCATCGTGAGACTGTCGTATGTTTATAAGCATCTTGTCTCTAAGTACTTATGTATGTACATTAGTTACTAAGTATTGAATGAAAAACATTTGTGTTATTGTTACATAAATTTTATGTAGTTCAGGTAAGTATTATCTTAACCGAGAAACTGGAATGATTTACGAAACAAATTATGTTTTCTGTCTATGTGATAGGAAAAAGTTTGATTACACATTCTGAAATTCCGATACAATGTGCGTTTGTCATGTTTCGTCATAGTCTACGGCTTTAGTTCATCCGGCTTGTGAAGGAACTGCCGTGTAACCCGCAATGCATTAACAAATACACTAATATAATTATCATAAAACTTACTAAATGGTCACACAATGACACCGCTATAAGAAATCACTCGAGACCTCTTTGGTTTTTATGTGATTGTCTATGAACACTGAATCTACAAAATGCACAGACTTATGGAACATATGTATATCACTGTAAATCTTGTTTGCACTTCCCAATATGCTGTATTATTTTTATTTTGCTACAACGGAATTGTAGTAATCTTGTTCTGATATGCATCTTGAAATGCATGGCCACTAAATCGTTGTGGAAAGTTGAAAATCATGTTGGATTTAGTATTATGGTTCTTGTGACGTCTTAATTAAAATTTTATCCATAAAATATTAATTAAAAAAACATCGTATGTATTTTCATTTATTTGTGTCGAAACGAAATATCATAGTTTCTTTATATTACGTTAATTTTATTTCTAACTTAAATTTTTCACTAACAAAAAGAAAATAAAACCCACCTCTATTGACATACTCTTAACTGAGAAACTAAATTTTTAATATATTTTGTATTAAAAGTATGTCAACTGAGAGTATAAAATATAAATTACCTTATTAGCATTTACCAATATGGCAGCTTAGTGAATTCGAAATGAGTAGTTTCCCAGAAACCTTAACCAAAAATCTTTGAGGACGGTCAAATAGTTGTAATTGTCATGTGAAAGCTTCTATTGTGTATATAAAACGTGTCTGTTGCATGTTAGAATGCATGACTAGTTGTGCCTTATCTAGTATGTGGTATATATTTTTTTCTTGACACTATTTTCGTCACCTAAGTTTATCGTAACTGCTGACACATTCAGTTCGTGTCAGCGGTTCACAAATATTTTTCTTCTTGCGTTTTATTTGTTGTTACTTATTGAGTTAATCTTATCTAGTTCCTAAGTTAACAAATGTTCGTAATTATATCCGATAGGAAAATGTTATTTGAGTTGAAGGCAATAAAACTCGAGGTTGTTCTAGAATATTTTACATTTAAATTAGAGCATGTTTATCCGTGGTTGAATCAATAATTGCCATTGCCTTCAGAAAACAACGCGGAAAAGGGAGAGATGACCCTTCTCCCTCCAACGCACGAGCTATTCAAATAGACACAACAGTCTTCAGAGACGAGACAAGTTTATTTTGTTATATTTTTCATTAAAAACTTTTTATAATATTCAACCCCGCTTTCAACACTCCCATTATGATGTTTATACTTAATATTCTGTATTTTATATCGTTAACAGACGTTTCAATAATATATATAAATTATTTCTTGTTTGAGATTCAGTGAATAGTATTGGTCAATTAAGAAATGTATTAATTATATTTTACTATATAGAAACTAAAATATTCTTGTTACAACTGTTCTCAATAATAATAAATAAACTACAGACAGAATGCTTTATTATAACTTCATATTTTTAATAATGAATAAGAACTCACAAGCAATTTGTCTTTTCTCCAAAACACTGCAGACGCGAGATATAAACAGGGTCTGATATTGCTAAGTTCTTAAGAGTAACTTTTGTAATATTGAGGTACCAAAGTTTGTAGGGCTGTGGCTTTGTTCCAGCTATCTAAATGGTCGGTTATTGTTTGCAGGCGTATATCAAATGCCACTGTAGCCCGTATGGTGCGAACTGATTAGTTGGATTCAATTTTGAAACTTATGTACATTGTTTGAAGTTTGGGATCGTGCGGGTTGAGGGACAACGTTTTTAATGAATATTATAACACCAAAAGTATTTCACACATATGTAAATATATTCTAGAACAAATATTCATTCAGAAAGAAGATGAAAATCCAAGTAACATTGCCTGCCATTCAATTCAAAATACAGTCTTATTTTAAATAGCATAAAGTTTATTTAAATATAAATTTATTTTACATGTCTTTTATAGTTTCAGAATTGTTTGTAGTGGCTTTATAACGCAATTCCTTTGCAAATACATCTGTCAATTCAAAATGTGCAAATATGAACAAATGGAGAGTAAATTTACTTTAAAGCGCTTCTTTATTTGCGCATTTTGTTGCGATATATTTTATCTTAGAATTCTTTGTTATTCAAATAATTTTGCTATCTCTCTCTTCCTTATGATATAATCTGTGTATGTGACAGGAATGGAATGACTACAACCTGAGGTGGAACGACAGTGACTATGGTGGAGTCAAGGATCTACGCATCACACCCAACAAACTATGGAAACCAGACGTTCTCATGTACAACAGGTGAGGAGTGTTGCATGAGGTGAATGTGCAAATAATTAATACATTTATTGCAGCGTCACTTGGAAACTGGGTAATATATTTATATGTATTTACGTATGCCCCCGATAAACAATAAATAGATACCTTTAACAGAGGAGCTTCTTTACTGATGATTTTAAAATGATGTTATTTTCTTCGAACTTGAGCAAGGCTAAGGCTCGAATTTCACTTCGATATTTACACAAATAATAACGAATATCCTATAGCATGTTACATTAAGTTGTTTCATTTTATTTTTAAAATTTTTGGATAAAATGAGACAAAATAAATTCCATGTGGAAACTTGATCTATATATAATCTTAGTTGATAGATATTACAATTTTAAAAACACTTTAAAAAATATTACTTGTTTTAAAATGAACATTTAGATTACTTCTATATAAAAAATAATAACATCGTATAGATGAATTTATAAAAAGCAGTTAATATGACCAGATATTTTTCTTTTCATATATAAAAATCTTCTAAATTCAATTAAAAACGATTATATAAATAATTTATTAACGTTATAATAAGATAATTAAATCTTTTATTACACACTTTTGTGTTTAGCTTTTAGTATACTGATAAAAGAGTAGAAAACAATTAATGATTTTATTATTATTGCATATTTTGATTATAATATTTAATAAATGTATAGTTTGGAAAGTCTTCCTATTTAATGAGTTTAATATAAAGAATAGTAGATCTACAAGAATGATGATAAATTACTATAATTTTGTAAAACACTTCACGTAAATAGGTTTCTGAAAAAGAAATCACATTTAAAGATTTTTTAACTATCACCGAAGCGTCATTAAATTCAATACATTCACCAAACTAAACTATCAAAGAGCGCTTTAGTTAGTCTTGAAAGAAAGCCTTCAAAAAAGCTTTATAAGAAGGGAAGTTTTAATGAAGTTCGCTAATTTACGTCTCGTGAGCCTCGTTTGAAAGTAGTTTAAATTCAGATTGTACAAGCAAAGTTAGCTATTAACTTTCAACATGTTAGAGTGTCATTGAGTTCGAGCACTCATAAAACTCATCGACGATGAACGGTGCTTGGGGAGAGTATTATAATAGTCATATCAAGTAATTAGTGATGTATTTTATATACATTATCATGTTATAATGTTCCTGTATAACATTTTAAGCTGAGAGTAGAGACAGCTGCTTGTTTCTCATGAAATAAACGTTTGAAATAGTAACATGTTGCAATCTGTAAACAGGATTGTATGTTAAGTGAATGAATAGTTCAGTTACCTGGCAGGAAGCCAGTTGGTTATAATGCACTGTGTCATGATGTCTATTTACATTTTACATGTACAGGATGTTTAAGTGAATTAAAGCACCGGTCCGATGTACGAGCTTAATATTGAATTAGAAGAAAGCCTTGTATTAATTTATTTTACGAAGAGATAGAACCCTTTTAACTAGCCAGACCTAGTATTATTTAATATGTGATCCCAAATTAAGATTAAATTTACGATTAATTTATATCACACGAAAAATAAACGACTACACAGAATGTTGACTTAGTGTTGTAAACTTATGCTTTGATAACATAGGATAGCTAACTTCTAAATAATACATAAACAAGAACTTTAATAATACACTAAGAACATAGGAACTAGTTTCTTAAGGCTTTGAGCTTCGTGTATCCGATACATGATAACATAAAAGTCGACTTAGAAACAGTGATCCGACAGCTTCTTAACAATTGAACACGGGACCAACTCGACGGCTTGAATTACAAATTATTTACTAAAAATACAACTTCTAACTTTCTAACTTTGACATTTGAAACTAGTTATAACTTAAAACAATATATCATTAATTTAGTTGAGTTATAAATTAAAATACGTAGTTCACTAAGTAATTAAGGATAGTCCAGTATAATTCTATAATATCATACAGTTTTTCCACTATATCGACTTTTGGCAAGTTCTATAACATTTTAACATAAATTTCGATGTTTAAACCGTTAACCAATAAGACGACCTGAAAGTTAAAAACCTGGAAAAGTGCCAGAGATCTTTAAAACACGGCCACTAAATTATTATGTGAATGAATATCGCCGGCGAGGATTTGATGTAAAGTGATTTTTCTAAAATTGATCTTCTAACGTTTCTCTTTAATATTTATAGTGGAAATTCTTCAAGATGGATAGAAAAATTTAAAGTATATTTACATAATTGTAGAGTTTTCTCGGTGTAGAGCTGGCGCGGTTGAGAGACACTTACCTTATTCCCTTTGCCATGTCGAAAGTATTCGAGAAATCTCACAACAAGCCGCGTACAATGGACGACCTCAAGTTGTGTATGGTAACATTCTTTTAGCAATTAAATACTTATATTTAATTCTAAATTATGTGTTAAAAATACTTCGGCTTGTTACTTAAAACAGATTTTAAAACACGAATTGGTACGTTTATATTATTGCATAAATTATTTTTTGAAATTCCATAATAAAGTAAAAGATAATTAATGTTCATGCAGGGGTTTGGTAAAAGAGGTTCCGCGTTTTTTAAACTCTTTTCCAACATAAACATTTGCTTAGGACCGTGCTTCGCGTATCAGGAGTTTCTTATTGAAAACTTTTAATTAATTGATGTGGATTTAAAATATTATATTATGATTTAAAATTCTCTTTGAATATTGTATGGAGCACAGTCTCTATAAAAAATATATATTTATGTATATAAAATATATCAACTTGAATTGTATACAGACACATGTTGTATCTGAGAAAAATGGTAAATATTGTGCAACCAAAACCTTATAAAACCGTCCAAATGCATTATCAATGTAAAAGAACCTGAAATCGGTGCAAATTCAAGACAACAGAAGCCTCTAGAGGCGGATGTAGAATTCATGACTTGTATGCTCGGCCACACAAAAGACTTTATTGCGTTATAGACTTTATGTGTTTTGGATAAGATCTAAATTCATGCAACGGGATGGCTACTGTATGCCACGCTAAGCTGGCATACAGCCAACGAATCCACATTAAGGTAGACCGAGTATCACACCGCACGTAAAGTATTTCATGAGGTCAAACACCTTTTCGTCTTTTTACGTTCCAGTACTGTATAGATTATTAACAACGTGTTAGTGACACTTAAAATTTTATATTTAAAAAAAGGTTTAAATTTTATTTAATGTTTGATAGTTCTTATTTAACTTGCTAATATTATTCTTATGGGACTTTGAAATAATTTAGTAATTAAAGTATTTTACGGACAGGGATTTTTTTTCATTCTGCATTATATTAATTTCAGTAGTTTTTTTTGTAGTGATAAATAAACTTACAATGTTGATCTAAAATACTTTTATTTTGATTCGATAAGATAACCAAGAAACATATAAATTGTAAATTATATACAATGTTACACGTCTGTGTAATACAAGGCTGTTTAAACCCGACGAAGGTAAAACTGTACGGAGACAGTAAACAGTCTTTATTGCAGAAACCTGTAAGTGATTTAAAAGCCTCCCTTATCAAATACAACTGTACAACCACTTTGGATGACAGCCAAAAATTTAACAAAATTTTAATGTTTAATGTTTGTACACCAATTTTAGGAGCATTTCAAGATAGAAAATCTTTAGGACCAAGGTCTTAGTTTCATGAATGTTAATTATGAAAAACCGATTAAAAATGTATCTGGACAAGGTTTTCTCAAGGATTGGTGGCGATTTAATAAATATTTTTCGTTTAGGAAACAACAATCATTGACTATCTTATCACGGTCATTTAAATCTTTTTGTTCTCAGTTATAAATGTTGTTTTTCTCTAATCTTTATAAATGCGTTACTTTGATATCGCTTATCTGTTGGAAATAAATGAAGTTTACATTTTTCTTTTCATCTGTCCCGAAAGCAAAAAAGTAATTATTTTATTTGTATCCGAGAATCTTTTAATTTTAAGCTGGCTCTACGCGACTTACTTTATCATTCTCTGTCGTACTCAATTCAATTTACCAATAGCTTTTACTCTCATATTATATGTTTTATTCAACGTAAGATTTTCCGTGAATTTTTTTGTATGTTCATTATAATTTCATGTATGCAAAATGAGAAACCATTTCGTGTTTTCGTATTACGTAAAATTTATTTAAAATATATCCGTATTTGTGAAATTGGAAATGCAATTTGTCAACGTCTTGATAGATATATTTGGAGACAGGTTGCGCAGAAATTCTAAATCCACGCTCGTACTTCGGACAAGTGCATCGTTAATAATGATTTGATTTATGATATCGGATCTCACTTCCGTGGTTCAAATCGAGTCAGGACACGTATACTCGTAGTATCTGTATACAATCGGCTTGAAATTAGTTTCATAGAAATCATATTGGTTTAAATAAAATAATAATTTAATCTTTACTACCGAACAATAAATATTGTAGATGTTTTTAGCTGAACTTTGTAAAAGCTCCAAATAGTTCTTGTTTTCGCTTTATTGCTGGCAGAAAACTGCAAATATTGTAGCTTTTAACCGCGCTTGGTCTTAATTAAAGGCAAGTCTATCACGGAGAAGAACCAATTAACTGCTTGCAGCGTTACTTGCAGATACAAAATACCAAAGTAACAGTTTAGCATTTAACTATCTAAGAGAATTACATTTAGTTTTATTCACCATTTCGCACTAAACATCGTATAGGTAAGTATGTTTTTACTTTGCACGTATTGCAAATATAAAGTGCTTATTTTTTTATATAAAATTTGTTATAAAATGAGTATTAAAGGCACATATTTTCAGAACTAGTGACAACTCAGTAGGAGGTTATCCCGAATGTGACGATCGGTGCTTGATGAAGCAACAATCGTTCGCGTGGTTACAACGTCCTACTTAGTGTTGCCACACTTGAAAATGACAAATAAACGTACATGGTTAGCTAGTCGCTGATTTGAACACCACGATCATCGTTTTGCTTATTGAATACAAATTATATTATAATGAACCAGTCATCCTTTTCAGTAAAAGAAAAGGATAAATACTGATCTTGATTTCAATAAGTGATAGGATGATGAATGTCAAGGATGATCAGAGTTCAAATTGAATTTTTATCATCCACGGCATCACATAAACACCGTCCCAGATAAAACCAAAGCACTTTTAATTTATTATAATGAGTAAATAATTTTATATAATCAGAAAGTACAATAAAAATACTCCGCTTTCGTCACAGCTTCAAATAAATAACGTGAAGAAATTAAATCATAAATAAATAATATATTTTTTGACAAAAGCTTTATCTAATTAACATTTTAATTTACAATAAACTTTTTTCTTCCTCTGGCGCATTTTCTTTTTACTGCTTTGATGTTGAAATTACAAATTTAAGAATATTTTCAATTTAATTAACATATCTGCACAGTGTTGTATAAAATACTGTTTTACCTACTTTATGTATAACCTTAGAAAACATAATATTTTTTATGTCCTATCAAAAGAATCATCAATGCAAATTTAAAACGTTATATTGTAATTGAAAAAAGATTTTTTAGGTTAACAATTTAGGAATTGTTACGGATCAGAGGATATTTTAATTATTCAGCAGCGATTCATTAATTTATTTCAGTTGGGATTCGCTTTTATTGCCACGATCCGTTCTAACTTATGAACAATTGTTAATTATTCATTACAAAATAAAAGAAAACAAATGAAGGACTGGAGTCCAATCTCATTGAGATTGGCTTGTTTCCTGTATCTGGTTGACAAACGGTAGGGTTAAAGGCTGTTGATTTTTCATTCGTATAGTGCTGACGAGGGTTTTGATGGGACGTACCAGACGAACGTGGTGGTCAGAAACAACGGCAGTTGTCTGTACGTACCACCCGGCATTTTCAAGAGCACATGCAAGATAGACATCACCTGGTTTCCCTTCGATGACCAACATTGCGACATGAAGTTCGGTAGCTGGACTTACGACGGCAACCAGGTATTGGAAATGTATAGGATTTATACTTGGATGTACAGTTATAACATTGATATGATCTGAAAGGATACATAACACACACGCCATAGTACACATACATATAGATATATGGCAAAGTATATATTAATAGTTTTGAAGGACTTTCAATTTGAACAAATGCTGTAGATATGGGGGTAGGTCAAATTGGGTAGAGTTGACCATTAAGGGAACCATGTGAAAAACCAGACGGATGTTTGACTATCCTAAACGTTTTGTATGGACTATTTTGCATGGTGCAGACAAGTTATATATACATAGCACTATATAACATAATGGATTTTATACATTGTATGAAGTACGGAAATATGTTTGTGCACGATGTATTCGTCTCATTTAGTATGATATTTTATATTATACCTGTATCTAGGATGAATATGATATTGAACACAACAACCAAAAGTAATCCCTATTTTTATAATAAACTAAAATAGTCGTTTAGCATTTGGCATGAAACCAAATAAATTCCTATGCACTTTAAAACATATGGATCTCACAATTCCCTTTTATTTCCAAGTATAATTTTTATTCTAAGCTCTGCATGTGTATTGTTGTAGTCCACTGTTGAGTTATTGGTTTGTAAATTATTGTTTGTAGGAGTAGAGTTATCGTTGTTAGTATTTGTATTGGAATTCCTGACTAAAATAGCTTTACTTCGACAGTTGGATCTGGTTTTAAAGGATGAGGCTGGTGGTGACCTGTCCGACTTTATTACAAACGGCGAGTGGTATTTAATAGGTAAGTGTTTAAATTACACTTCTGATTACTTTGTTACAATAGTGTGTTTTGAATGAAAACAAAAATCATTTATTCTAAAACGACCATAATGAATCATAGGTATGCCGGGAAAGAAAAACACTATAACATACGCGTGTTGTCCTGAACCATACGTAGACGTGACATTTACAATCATGATAAGAAGACGGACGCTGTACTATTTCTTCAATCTGATTGTTCCTTGTGTTCTTATATCATCAATGGCACTACTCGGCTTCACACTGCCACCGGATTCCGGAGAAAAATTAACACTAGGTATGTCTGTATTTCATTTCGAGTATTATTCATGTTCAAATATTTCAGGATGCAGGAAGACGTGAATGTTTTGTTTTAATGCTTTATATATTATCCGGGTATTAAATGGATTCTATCCCAATTTGGGGTTAACCATGTCTTTGGTTCCAGGAGTCACTATACTTCTATCGCTGACGGTGTTTCTGAACCTGGTTGCTGAGACCCTGCCACAGGTCTCCGACGCAATCCCCCTGTTAGGTACACGATCCAAAACCTTACCCTCCCTCCAAAATCCCCTATAACTGATTTCACTCCCGTATTAGTTTTTATTTTGATCTTTTTATATTATTTTTTCTTTATTATTTTTTATTTACAATAAAATAAATGAATTAAAATGCTATTTTAAAACATTACAAGGAGTAAATTTTGTAAAGTTAATATATAAAGAGCTAAGATTATTGAAAATATAAAAAGTATTTTAAACTGATCACCGTTGACAGTGAATTGTTTGATAGAAATTTTTTAAGGCATGCTTTCGCTTGTCGGTCAATAAGTTTCCTTATTCCAACTCAATTTCAACACAACCACACATTTCATAGTAGTTAAATTGTTTAAAATATCATCATTATATTTTATGTGAAATGAGTAATAAATCGTGGAATCGACTTTAGTCTCCTTTTTCGAATGCTTTGTACTTAATTAACTATAGGTTGTCTAGTGGAATAAATAATGCTCAGAAAACAAATGAAACTCCGCTTGATTTTTTTTGTGCTTTCATTTGCATTATTTAAAAATTATTGCAACTGAGCTGTAATTTATTACTGACAAAATAAATAGCATGGATTGCCTGTGCGAAAAGTACCTTTATATTTCACTCTTATAATAAGGATCTCCAAGGTAAGTTAGTTGTTTTATTCTCTTTATTCTCATCTGTATTTTTATTATATTCGTAATAAAAACGAATTCGATTCCATGATGTATTATCGGTGTTGTGTCTTGGTGTTTCATGTTAAAAGAGTTATTAAGCACCCTATTCACAATTTCTTGATACTTGGAGGGTGGTTTGATATGATTGGTACCAAAACTATAATAAAATTATTATAAAATTTAATATATATAATTAAAAAACTAATACTAAAACACTCTCTAAACCGTATGTGCATGACTACTTCGTTATATTTTTTTTATTATTTCACTTGAGCCCCTATTACCGACTCAGCACACTGACAGGAATTATAACGTCCAAAGCCGATACGAAGTTTCTGTTAATGCGGAACACGATGTTAGAATAACTGGGTTATAAAGCATTTGTACATAGATAATATTTATCATGGTACTGTATATTGATCTTTACAGGTGTTACAATTCTCCTGTCGCAAACTGTTTTCTCTCTATTGGTGGGGCACGTTATCACTAAAACCTCTGAGGCGATCCCCCTAATAGGTGAGAAATTCGTGTTTGTTAGAGATTGAATAAAAAAACAAGAAATAAACATAAACTAATATAGCTGAATAATTATATTAAAATACACGGGAATAGGTCACGAGGAATGGATGATAATTTATTTGAAATTAAAGTGATAACTGTTCCTCTACCTACTTCCTAATACAAACAATAAATTTCTTAAAAAGAAATCTAAATAGAAAGCTTGAATTGAATCCTTCCTTAACAAAGCATAGTCGCTAGAACTTTTTTTTACTTTTAACTTGCATTTTAGACACTAACAATTTTGGAATTACTACGCTTTAGAGGGGTTTAATGCTAAAAGGGATGTTTTACTAATCAATTCTTTTATATCTTACTACCTCCAAAAAAACCTTAAGGTACTTTTCAAACTGGCCTCCAATCTTAATCTTCTTGTAATGTTTTAAATGAAAAATCATTTTATTTCAGCCATAGCTAAATCATTAGCACATTTGTTCTTTTATATTTGAATGCAAATATTAAAAGTAATTTAAGTAGTGTTTGATAAAATGGTTTAATAATTTTATATTATTTCAAATTTTGCTAACAATGTATTGCTTGTAGATTTAACAATATAATGAGGATGCTGCTTCCCAGTATCTGGCGCATGTCTAATGTGTGTGTAATTAAATCTTGACATTTGTGTTTATGCTAATTCACGCTTTGTCTTCCTTGCATAAAACAATCAATTATCCAAATTATATTTAATTAAATGCATGTTATTTAAGTGACTAATATCTGTTTTTTTCACATTCGTTTTAACTCCATAGGACATGTTTTGATTCATTCCTATTATATAAATCTAAAAGCTAGATTTGAAAATTACGAATGAAAGCCGGGTTTAACAATAGGTTTGTTTTGGAAGTGAACTTTTGTTAGTTCCGTAGTAAAAAAAGGTTTACAATTTATCGTGATCGCAATAGGTCGTTTTGTTTCAAAATTAGTCTGACCATAACTGAGCTTCAACCGTGACTTTTAGCTACCTTTTCATATTTGAAATCCTTTCCCCCCTTTTATTGTATAATTTTTCGGGATCATTCCTATCATTATACTGATAGTTTTTTTAACTTTTTTTCAATGTGTGTGTGCTTATGTAATGTTAAATTATACAAGACATCTAGCATCAAAAGTCATTATAGAATCATATGATTTAGCTGCAAATGAATTAATTATTAATTATTTACTAGGAAGGTTTAATAAGTTCTTTTGGTATGTATTATTTAATTATTATCTAGGCTCTGTTTAGTCACGGTTGTGTCTTAATCATTAACGCATACATTGCATGAACTAGTCTCTCTAATATATCCGATGCTTTTCAATTGCTCTTATTTTTTTTTATTTCTAGTATTCAATAAATATATGTACATAATTCAAAACAAAACTAAACTTTCCAAGTAAAATATTTTAGTACTTATTTTTTATTTTTTAGAATTTAATTTTTATTTAATTTCATATATATTTTTCTATTTTTTTACTTTTGAAGCTAATTGTACATAGCTCACATTATTTGATTTTTTTTAATTTTATTCTTCTTTTATATGTATATTATATACTTAATGACTATATGAATTCTTTGATTTATTGATGTAGATGGTATATTTAATAATCGTTTTAAATGACAGGAACTTACTTCAATTGCATCATGTTTATGGTGGCTTCATCTGTGGTCTTGACTGTAGTCGTGTTAAACTACCATCACAGAACAGCAGATATACACGAAATGCCACAATGGGTGAGTAAAAGCTATTAAACAAAGCTAGAACAATTAGCTCTTCTGTCTGAAAAAATGAGAAAACCAGCTAAGCTATGATGACCCTTGTAACAATTTAGTTATATTAATGAGATAATAAATTTTACATATACTTAAAAGGTAAGGTTTTATCAATAACATAAATTAATACTAATCAAAAATTTGTTGATATAGATAAAAACAGTGTTCCTACAATGGCTGCCGTGGATTTTACGTATGTCAAGGCCGGGGAAGAAAATAACGAGGAAAACAATAATGATGTCGAACAGAATGAGAGAATTGGAGTTGAAAGAGCGCTCGTCTAAATCATTGTTGGCGAATGTTCTGGATATAGACGATGACTTCCGACATGTGCCGCCACCACCTAATAGTACTGCGTCTACCGGGAATCTTGGACCAGGGTACAATACCTTATCATGCTTAGATAGACCTTTAAGGTTGCATACTTTGGTTTTGAATATATTACTAGTTTATTTCTTTGTAATCTCACGGATGAGAAACTTAATAGATGTAGGGAATTTAGAAGTTTTTTTTTCAAAATAGTTTCATTGTTAAACAGATGTTCAATATTTAGAACGGACTTTCGGCGTTCGTTCGTGAGGCCGTCTACAATGGAAGACGTGGGCGGCGGTCTCGGAAGCCACCATCGGGAGCTCCACTTAATATTAAGGGAATTGCAGTTCATCACAGCGAGGATGAAGAAGGCTGATGATGAAGCTGAACTGATCAGCGATTGGAAATTCGCAGCGATGGTTGTAGACAGGTAATGATACTTCTAAGGAAATGTCAAACATGGTAAAAGTAAAAGGTTTCTCAATCGGCAATAAAATTTTCATCTAAAACTTTCTTAATCATATAAATTTGTTTTTTACTTTGGTGGACAAACTTCAGCAAGCTAATCCGTAAACAAGATTATAACTGTCTTTTTATTTCTGTTCAGTACTTTTGTATATATTATTTTATGTTATATATATTTGTACAGATATCACTATATGAGTGTGTTATAAACATATGTTTATCCCCAGGTTCTGTCTGTTCGTGTTCACATTATTCACTATCATCGCGACAGTGGCCGTGCTTCTGTCCGCTCCCCATATCATCGTACAGTGAACTTACGACGTAATTGCAACTATGAGAGAACTAATATTAGTCATATTAATAACTATAAATAATATAATGATACTAATTACTTCGTAACGTGGTTCAAACGCACACGTCTATTAACTAAGTCGGACGACGGTAAACGTAAAACTTTAAAACGTTACATATAGCTTAGTTAAGTCCAGCATTATTATAATGTAAAAAGATTGTGATGTTGAATAGGAAGTAAATACATATAAATGTTGAATTATAATTTGTTAAATATATAATTATATTTCTAATAAATACGATTAAATGTAACATTAAAAAATATTTAGTTAATATATCTAAATGACATGCGTGAAACAACCTACTTTGGTTCATTGTATACAGAATCCGCATATTATTTAAAGTAATATCTTTTGATAATATATTAAATATTTTTACTATATTTAGGTCGTTTTGATACATATAATGATTTTATTATATTCTCGATCTTAATAATCATTACTTCGATGATAAACTTAATAGGGATTGACTACAGTTTTTCAATAGAATTTCGTATGATGCTACGTCATTTATAAGAAAACGAGGGAATATTCAATGACATTACTATAGGGAGTTAAGTAATGTACATAACGAGAGTTTTAATAATAAAAAGCATATAATATTACATTTTTCAATAACACCTTATTGTATACTTTAGTTAATTTTGTTAGTATTTCTTATATTTCTATTTATTTTCGATTTAAGAACAAATCATCAGGATGACAACGGTTACTTCTTGGAATTGATACTTGTTACAGTTTAAATTAAGTAAAGGGAACCAAAGTTAAGGTAGGATAGAGAGTAGATACGAGAATAAATTAAAATTAATAATATATTTAATAACATTGGGATTAAATAAAATGTTTCGCTGATCATGCTGAATGCTGAATACAAGTTGAAAGTTGCAATTTTCTACGTTTAAATGAATGAATGTTTAAATTCTTACGTATCGAGATCATTATTGGACTGTATGTAATGTTCGGTAGGAGTAGTCGATCATATATTAAAAACCGCGCGAAATATAACGCTGCCGATAGTGAAGTATTTATTGATTTTATACGAAAATATCTATCTGTATATAATTATCTAGGGCGTACCGACGCCGTTAGTGTATTAATGAAAAATGAATGAAATCGAAATAAGAAGCAACGTTCTAAATATATAGGTGAAATTATTGGAGTGATAGCTCACGAGTCGCTCAAGGGGAACATCACGATGACTTTAATAGTATAACGGTGTTAGTATTCGAGCGACTCGATGTTTGAGTATCCTCTAGCACTTAGTAGTGTTTATAACTTAGGTGAATGTAATTTAATAACATTTATTCTCATCTTTATCTACGTCCGTTCCTCAATTTCACTCTTATAGGTGTCGTGATAGTCTAGTAAGTGTCGTGTGACTTTTAAGGCTACCCTGTAATAATAAGAAAGCTCACTAATGTTAGTCATTTTAATACTATCGGATAAAAAGTTTGCGTGTGCGTATTTTATTTATAATTTGTTTAAGATTTTATACTTCTTGGTGTGTTAGTTACATTGTTTTGTGGCTTTGTTGATATATTTTAGATTTTTAATTATTTCGATGTAAAACTAAAATGTTGGCATTCACTATAATTAATTTTGTTTTATGTGACGTTTCATTTATCATATACTGTATGGTGCTCAAATTTTATCAACATTCTCGTTTACTTTGTGTGGAAAGCGTGTATAATTTAGTTATTAATTGATAATGTGAATTTTAATATTAAAAATAACTTAACCATTCCGTTATTAATTGTTATAATTGATTTATGTTTCGTTTTAAAGTGATTGAAAATTTATTCGTAAATAGATTTGTTAGTGCCAAATTATAGGATTTATAAAAATTGTATTAAGTTGGTTTATAGTATTATAAAAAGTTGAAAAGTTTATTATAAAAAAAAATGTAAAAGTGAACGAAATAGTGTTTGTTAATTCTAATTTAACGTTTTTAAACATTGAGCCGCAATTACGGGTTCAGTCAGCCAATTTTAAATATCTTAGTTACTTAAAAGTAAATAACACGACGGTTGTGAAAAAAATGTTTTAAAAAAACCCGTAGTATGCGATTCGGTGTATAATAAAATACATGAATAAAAAACGTGGGAGAGTACCTACTAATAAAATACATAGATGTAAAATGAACTAAAACGCCTGCATGCGACCGGGCTGGTATAAATGTACAAATGAGCTGGTCCATTTCAACGCTTTCATCCACATGGCTTACCTTATAAAAAGCTTTCGCTTTAGTGTTCATGAAAAAACTAATTTCTTTGTGCTTACGTTAGCAGAATACCTAGGTTTTAAATCTGTTGGAGTTAGTCTAGTGTGTATCCGAGGGTGATTTAGGTAATATAAGAAACTAAAGCTGCCATAATGGTTTATATTTAAATATATACATATAATTACAGACCGTCGTTAAGAGAATATGTAAAGTTGATATGAAATAGTTGTTTTTGAATCTACAATATCTGTTAAGGTCAGAAAATGTGTGAAATTCTATGTCATGAATTTTTCTCCTCTCAAATCTTCGTGCACCCAAAAACGATATTTCTAAAACACTCGGTACACATTGTTTTCTATGACTATATTAATGTGTGTTTTCCAAATTCGTTTGTGTGGAATTACCTCAGATACCACTGAAAGATAAAGAGCATTTCAGATAACCCATCTATCAGTACATAATAAAACTAAATCATTAAAAAGGTACAACAACACAAACAAGTAAGGAAACTTTTAACACAATAGAAACTAAATGCTTTAATTGTAAAACAGGTATTTTTGACTTTCATATTTAACACTAACTATTCTGACGCCTGTAGTCTAAGAAAACGCTACTAGTATGTACTATCCCTAGCTTATTTTGATTCACTTATATTTATCTCGTCCATTTTATGATTGAACGCTATTTTAATTGTACCAGACTTGTAACTTTGGCATCAAAGAATTTCCTTTGAACGGGACTGTAAGGTTGCAATGAAAAGCTTAATTGTGTTAGCAAAGAAAGAAAAAAACTGAAAAGGCCATTGCAATAGGCAATCGGATAAGATGTGGGTTACAGCGTGTATTGGCGAGTCATTTATGGAATCTGCCAAGTTTTAGTTATCACAGCATGTATAAAATGTTTTGTTACCCCCAAGAACATTTTTGAATTCCGATTATGGGCTCCGGAATTCAAAAAACACAAGAATTTATAAGAATGAAGTTTATTTTATCCCGAATGCTTTGGTTTCAAGGTTACATGTCTTTATTCAAAACTGCTGCTACTTCGCTTATTGTTAAGATTCTTAAGTCATTTATTAAAAATAACATTACCTTCTATACACATTGCTATACTGTATGCTGCTAAAATAAACCTAAACTTGTGGCCATTCATCGTGTGTATACAAAATATTTATCGATCTATTAATTAATGACATTTATCCTAAAATTCTAAAACTGTTAAATTTTGATTACAATAGCTATAACGAATACTCGCAATAATATAGAACGGTTGGATGGCCAGAGTTATTTTATAATTTATTCGCTGTCACATAAAGTTTATTTTTGTATGCCTTCACATAATCTCCACATTGTGTTCCTGTGGCTTATCCATAGTCAAAACAAATAATTAAAATTAATTAATATGACTGCAGGTAATAAACTACCGTGAGTAATGTAAGTGTAAGGCCCCTATGGAGGTTTTTTATAATAGTGGTCATTTAAATACAAGAAATTAAATTTGTAAAGAATATTAAACACAACGGGTAATACGGTTATTCGTTAAATTTACTTAGTAGTACTCGATTTGTATAAAACTAAAATTAAAGCAATCTGATTTATACTAACATGACGTTTTATTTATATATCCTATCAACTTTTTCTTTTTCACCTACTTTTTGTGTGAATAAAACAAATAATTGTACCTATCTGGGACTATTTGTTACTTTGATTTACATCTATCAAGTATTGCAAAGATATGTTGTATATTTTTGTACAAAGTAATAAACGGTCCTATATTCATATGCATATCAGAAATATTCACCAAGTCTCTGAAGTTTCACTTTAATATGAAATAAATAGACATTTTACCAAAATATAAACTTCACATATATTTTTCTCGTATTATGCATCAAATAAAGTGTCGAGAGATCTGACACGGGCAAAAGACAGGTAATATTGATGATTCCATTAAAATTATTGAAAATTTCATTTCTTTCTACGAAAACGAGGCTGTCAGTGGGTTCCGTCACCTGCACCTGAGACACTATCCCAGTAAAAACAACTCCTTATATAAGAAGTATGAATATTCTTTGTTAGGTTATCACCTTTTATATAAAAGTAAGAAAAATAAATGAAAAAAGACAACAACTACATGCGTACTAAGGACTATTAAACTGATTATCCAAGTGTTTGATATTAATTAACATTTAATATAACAAGTCGACAAAAGACTGCCAAGTGTAGTCGATATTAAATGTCCTAAAATAACAAATGCTTGTGGATATTCAAAGCATATGTACATACAGAAGTACAAATATAAAACAAAAATATAATAATTGTCTAGCTGTAAATTAACCAGATGATACAAATTATTGAAAACTGTGTAAGTATATAATAAAAATATAACAAAACGGTAATAAATTTATATGATAACAGCATTTAACATCGAAATAGAATTCCTTTGGAGAAACAAAAAACATACGATCCACTTTATAAAGTAACTCAATTTTATTACATTAAAATAAATAACCTACGCATAAATTGGTGTGTATTAATTATCCTAAACGCAATCAGAATTAGTGGCTATAGCTTAGAAGGCAGACTAACATGAAATTGTTTGTAGAAGGAAACAACTGGTTAGCATATGCAAATTCTGAATGTGCAATGACCTGGTTGATATTCAAATCCACCGTATATATATGGTCGAAAACTCTTTATACGTAATATTGAGTATGAAACTTAGCGATGGCTCAATATCTCATA